AATCTAGCAGAATGGAATATATATACTGTACCGATTCTGTCTAGATCAGTGGTTCCCAACCTTTTTATGGCCATGCCCCACCTAAGCATCTCTAAAATCCTGATGCCCCCCCCCCGGGGTCCCCCCCCCGTGACATATAATTCTTACTTTACTCAAAAAGGGAACTCTACTCACACGGAGGAAGTTTAAAAGGCCATTAACTTGGTTTAAACAAAGTTCAAGTTGCCCCCCCATTAAACATTAAATTGCCCCCCTTTGGGGCATGGGCCCCACATTGGGAACCACTGGTCTAGATGTATGGAGAATAGGTTTCAAATCTGTGCAATATTTACTGGGGCTTTTAACAGTTTACTCCACTCAGTTCAATCTATTTCAGAGGATGGTGTTTTCTTGTAGCTCCCCAAATTATTTGTTGCTCTTGGAAGCCATTTTAAGACCCCGATGTTAAAAGATCCTGGAGTTGGACTTTGAAATTCAGCTTTAGATAAAATTAACTTGAGAGACTCATCATCTTCATAGCATACAAAGCTTTTTCTCGTCGAGCAGACGCACTCAGATTTCTGAAATGAGTTTTTGTTTTTGGACTTTGCTTGAAGGCTACACTCGTGGCTGTTTATTTAACTTACTTGACTTTAAAGGCACTGCCTGAGTCAACATCACAGCAGGATTTAGACATTATTGTGACAGCTGCCAGAGAATTTGTTCATGATTGATCCCAATCTAGATGATTTTCCCGTCATTTTGTGATTTTAGTACAGTCACATAAATATACTGTTTTATATGGTGCCCTGGGGATTTCAATATCTTAATAGTCCTACACAAAAAGTTGTTATATTTGTTACAAAGAACACAAATGGTGTTTCTGAGATAAGATAGAAGAGTCATGTAAGGAATTTCTTGTAATATGCAAAGGATTTTTTCTCACTGAGGGCTCCGGCTTTCTGGAACAACTTGTCCCCTGATGTCAGGTTGGCCCCAACCCTCCTATCCATTTGTAAGGGTCTAAAGATGTGACTCTTCCGGTTGGCTTGGGGCACCAATGGGGAAACAGCACAGTAGTGGTAGTTGATCGAGTAACAACAGATCCCACCTTGATTTGATAAAAGGAACAGCAACTGACATTCAGAATTACTCCTAAATTATATTTAACTGACCGGACCTGGCACTAGGAATAGATAATTTTTTAAAAAGTACACAGGCAGACTTTGATTTATGACCACAATTGGAACCAGAATTTCTGTTGCTAGGCAAGGCAGTTATTAAATGAATTTTGACTGATTTTACAACCTTTTTTTGCCAAATTGTTAAATGAATCATTGCAGTTGTTAAGAGAATCATGTGGTCATTAAATGAATCCAGCTTCCCCCACTGACTTTGTTGGAAGTCAGCTGGGAAGGTCACCAAATGGTGATCACATGATCCTGGGACACTACAACTGTCATAAACACATGCCAGTTGCCAAGCACTCAGATTTTGATCATGTGATCCTGGAGATGTGATGATGGTTGTTAGGTGTAAGGACCATCATAAATATTTTTTTTTCAGTGCTGTTGTAATTCAAATAGTCACTAAATGAATGGTTGTAAGTTGAGGCCTACTTGTACTGTACATAGTAGATTTCTTTTATTATTAGAAAACCAAATCAGTCTATTTTTCACATCTAACCCAGAGGCTTTATTCCTAAAAAAAAATCTCATGCAGAGATATATTTTCTTCCTCACATTTATTCCACTACCCTTGTATCTTGAACTTTTGTCTAGCTTTGTCCTTTTTGGAGTGTGGTGTTGACTGTCATTGTGTCCTCGTCACTTTGTATTTGGATGACTTCAATGAACTTTATTTGGAGCTATCTTTGAAGGCTGTTTAGGAATTGTAGTTAATTCAAAATGTATCTGTTCACTTGCTGACTTGTGGCAGTCATTTCAGCAGAATAACATCTATAACTGCAGACTAAATAGGTTTCTGAATACATTTCAAAGTGCCGATAAGACTTTTATGGCTCAGGTCCTTGTTATCTTCAGGTCTACAGTAAGTAGAATCTACGCATCCTGTGTGTTCAGTCTGACACTGTCCACTTCTGATTTTGTCTACCTGAGATGTTATATGGGTTGGGGACTGTGAAGCAGGACTTTTTAGTGGCTTCACCACTCTTATGGAACAGCCTTTCTTCTGAGATCAGACTGAACCTCTGTCTGCTGCCTTTCAGAGATAGAGACAATTATCTTCTGCTGAACTTCTGGATTATAAATTCCAAGACTTGGTAACTGGTATTCAACTTTGTGCGCTCTTGTTTATGGTTTTATTTGGGAATTATACATTTTTATTGTATATAATTTATTATGAAAAATATGTTTTAATTATTTGTTTGTTTTTATGGTTGTAAAGAGACCCAGTTTGACGTAGTGCTTAAGGCAGAGGTCTTCAAACTTGGCAGCTTTAAGACTTGTGGACTTCAATTCCCAGAATTAATTTTGGCTGGAGAATTCTGGAAGTTGAAGTCCACAAGTCTTAAAGCTGCCAAGTTTGGGGACCCCTGGCTTAAGGCATCAGGCTAGAAACTGGGCAATTGAGTTCTACTCCTGCCTTAGGCACAAAGCCAGCTGAATGTCCTTGGACCAGTCACTTTCTCTCAGTCCTAGGAAGGAGGCAATGGCAAATCACTTCTGAAAAACTTGCCAAGAAAACTGTAGGGATTTGTCCAGGCAGTCTCCAAGAATCAGACATGACTGAACGGAAAAGGAGGGAAAAAAACCACAAACGATTGAAAGTCTATGCCTGGAGTAGCATCTCCATTCTGTGAAATAAATAAAATAATGATGCTTCTTTAGGACTAAAGTACTCCTTAAATATGAGAAATCATAGTTATGCTTACATGCACAATTATTTTTGCATAATTCTTGCACATGATGCTGAGTGGGAAGGGAAAAAGACAATCGTGTGCGCTCTAAGCAATCTGACTATTTTTGTTTATGCATGCTAGCAGATAACAGTTGCTCAAATAATTAACATACATGGAACAAGAGAAATATTCTATATAGTGCTAGATAATTTATCAACTAAATATCATAGTGTGCTTGGACTCTAAGGAGGAGAACAGCCAGTTCCAGAGATGCTGGACAAACCACAATTTTAAGGAGTTGCAGGCAGAAGATGCTATGTTGGCTGGTGACCAGAAGACACAGCTGCCCCCAGGCTCTGAAAATGAGAAATCTGAGCTGCCACCTCCTCCCAGTGTAAGGGTCTGTCATATAGAGAGGACAGCAGTGCTTTGCAATGATCTTCACTAGAAAGGAGACTTTCCTTCCAAATCAGCAACACCCGAGTTGCTTCTATTTAAGAAGAGTGGCGAGTTCAAACCTCTCTCTAGGCAATAAGCCTTCATTTACCCAGACTTCAGGTGCGTTGACTCCCAACTTAAAACTTTGTAACTTTGGCTCTGGACTTGCACTTAATGACTCTTCCATAATATTTGGATTTTTGGACTTCGCTTTACCACTCATGCCTGCTGTTTTGCCAAAGGAACGTTCTCAAGGCAAGCTTGCTGGACTTTCGGGGAACTTGTTTTCTGTAGTGTGTGAGTGTGTATGTGTGTGTGCACAATTTCCACTCACTTTTTCTTTGCTGCTTGTTCATTTGCTTCACAAACTTCTCAGTAAAGTTTGCAACCATTTTTTCTTTGTTCTTGCAGGTACATGGCCCGAGACTGGATACTTAGAGCAGCTATTTTCATCCCTGTAGATTTTCCAGGTTCTTTATCAAGTGTTTTTGGAAGACATATCCCCTCTGACTTTAAAATAAAGTAGAAATGTAGTTATTGAACCTGGAACTTTCTGCATTAAAACTCTGCCACTGAGGTTCAAAACATCTGAAAGGTTTTTGATTGAGTAAGAATGTTCTCTTCCATTACAACATAACTTTTTGGTTAGGTAGAATTTACTGAACAGATCCCTCTGTCATATTCTGTATGCTCCATTTTACTGTGGTGCTTTTGAGTGATATGTCATCCCCAAACAACTTTACAGAATAAATGGCTATAGGTACCAGATGCTGTATATTGAACACTCAAGTCTTAGTAATAGCTCTAGCTACTTCAGTACTTAAACTGAAGATGCAGGGTGTATATAATTTCCTATTATAATAACGGAATGAACACTTCTGCTGATGTGAATCTACTGGTATATAGTAGCTGTAGAACTGAATCAGGTTATCAAATTGATACCTAAGGCTAAAGAAAAATGGGAGAACGAATGCTTGCAATTATTAATCAGTACTTCTACTGATCTCCAGTAGTAGCTTACCAATGTGCAGATCAAAGAGAAAATAGGGGATATTGTGCTTTGATTTTTGTTTGCATGAATGGAGAGGGCTTCCTGTATTCTAAATCATAAGAAGAAAACATGTAAAGATGAGAAAGGGATTTCACGCCATTCTTGAAATAGTTCAGGTAATATGTAGGCTTGGAACTTAACCTTTCCTCTTGCATTCCTGGGATATATTGGTAAACCTGCTTATTTTTCATAAATATATGGATATAACTGCAACCAAAATTAATATAATGAAGTCAGATGGGAAAAGAAACATAATATAGAACAGGTCTGTCAAACTGGTGGCCTGCGGGCTGGGTGTGCCACACACAGGCCATGCCCACCCTGGCTCTGCAAAGGCAAAAAAGATCGTGGTATGTCACAATACCTCACAATACGTCATGTGATGCGATCGAATTTGACACTTGTGATATAGAAGGTGAAGTAATCTGGCTGTGACATCTATCATCCCATTGGGTTGATTGGCAAATCTGGCTGACTAGGCAAATGTCCCCTTTCTCCTTCACTGCTCCATGGATCTTCCTCCCAAAGCTGTGCAGTTGGTGGAAGAAGATGACTATACTGATAGAAGGAGTCCACTATTGCTCAGTCAAGGAATATAATATGCTGGCAATTTAAATTAGAGGCAAGACTATACATGTAGAACAATTCAGCCAAAGTCCAGTTCTTTATTTGCTTATACCCAATAGACAGAATCTTGCCAGACAAAACACTTACTACTGTACTGTCACCTTATGGATATACCCAGAGGTGGGTTTCAGCAGGTTCTGACCAGTTCTGGAGAACTGGTAGCGGAAATTTTGAGTAGTTCGGAGAACCAGTAGAAAAAATTCTGACTGGTGCCACCCCCATCTATTCTCTGCCTCCCAAATTCCAGCTGATTGGGAGGAAATGGGGATTTTGCAGTAACCTTCCCCTGGATTGGGGAGGGAATGGAGATTTTACAGTATCCTTCCCCTGGAGTAGGGTGAGAATGGAGATTTTACAGTAGCCTTCCCTTGCCACGCCCACCAAGCCATGCCAATCATGCCATGCCATGCCATGCCCACCAAGCCACGTCCACCAAGCCACGCCCACAGAACCGGTAGTAAAAAATTTTGAAACCCACCACTGGATATACCCTGGGAGATTCTAGGGAGTGACTGCCTTTACTCTCTTCCTTTGTCTCCTATCTAGCTCTAAACTGTCTATCTCTCGTTTCCTTCCTTTCTGGACCGGGCTCCCTCCTTCCTGGGAAACTGCCATTTCACTGTAATCCATCACACCAGCTATCCCTTTTTGGGCACCCTCTCTCATATCAGTGAAAGAGCTAAGATCAGGTTTCCCACTACAGGGATCAAGGATGTTATTATCATATATTGTAGTGGGTGGAGAAGAAACAAACAAAGCCGACTTCAAGAAAACAATTGTTATTCATTCTTTAGTTACCTGAGAAGACTATTTTATGAGCCATAGATAGAAGTATATCAAGATGAGGAGGCAAACCAAAAAATATTTGAAGAGTAGAAGTCTAAACTTGAACAAAGAGAACCATGCACAAACTGGAAGCTGTCTATATTATGTGAGTTTGGCTTATAACGGATGTCAATTTACTTCAGCTTTGAAATTATTATATTTAGGAATTAAGTAAGATATTAACGGAGCTGGAAATTCAAAAGCACGTACTGTAATAAGATCAAGAGTTCTTTGTCAATGACTCAGAAAATAACAATAGGATTGTTAACTCTGGTGGATCAAAATTGCAGTTGCATAGAGAACTGCAGCCTTGGCTGACCCTTCTTGTGATTCTGCTGGTAGGATAAAAGATATAGTTTTTGAATACTGAAAAAAAAAGTTTTCTTTATTTATTAATTTATATTTCCTATTTCTTAATCACCCACCTCCCTCAAAGAGGGACTGTTGTTGCAAAGAAGTCTACAGAACATGAGGAAGAGGTATTTAGATTGAATACTATAGGGAGAGAGGTAAAAATAGCGAACAAACCCACCAATAAAATAGAAGAAATATATGAGAAGGGTATCTCATGCATGTCCTTGGATGAATGTACCTCTACATTCATAGATAGAAGCAAATTGTCTTCTGAGTGTTCATGTCATGTGACGTCATATTTTCAAGCCAATTTTCATAACCAAAGCCTAGAAACTTTTTTTCAAAGTGGTGGATATCAGGGTGATAAATTCAACACCTAAGATTTAATTCCATGCTTGACTTGTTTAAATACTGTAAATAACAGAGAAAGTCCTGAATTAAGGAAATGGGGGGTGATGCTCGCTTGGTTCTCTAAATACCTGCACAAGCAATACAACAATAGGGTTTGTGCAAGGGTGGGTTCTACTTACCTTTACTACCGGTTCGCAACGGGAGCATGTGCGCTTCTGCACATCCGCAGATCATCAATTATGACATCTGGGCGGGTGGGCGGAGCCTCCCTCCACTTTTACTACCAGATCTAAAGAACCGGACTGAACCAGGAGCAACCCACCATTGGGTTTGTGCAGGGGTGAAATGTAAAATTTGTTACTACCGGTTCTGTGGGCATGGCTTGGTGATGGTGGTGGGAAATGTGATTGGGGTGGGCGTGGCCAACTTTTTTTTTTTTTTAACTTTTCAAAGCATTTTTTCTAATGCTTTGAAAAGCCTCTGCCAATCAGGCAACTCAGCTGGGATCATCAGAGAGGCTTTTTAAAAAATGTCTCTCTGCCGATCAGGCAACTTAGCTGGGATCGTCAGAGACTTTTCAAAGCATTTTTTTTACCACCTCTTCGGCCAAGAGCTTGCAGAAAAAAATGCTTTGAAAAGCCTCTGACAATCCCAGCTGAGCAGCACGATCATCAGAGGCTTTTTTACTTTTAAAAGCATTTTTTCGTCGGAAGAGGTTGTAGAAAAAATGCTTTTAAAAGTAAAAAAAAAAAAGCCTCTGATGATTGTGCGGCTCAACTGGGCATGGTGGGGGGGGGGCGCGCAGGGATTTTTGCTACCGGTTCTCCGAACCACCCGCCGCCATCGCTACCGGATCGGGTGATCCGGTCCGAACCGGGAGCATTTCACCCCTGGGTTTGTGTCATACGGTTCAGAGCATAAGGAGCCTCCCAGGTGAAAAACTCCAGTGTACTTCATAACTCTTAACTCACTGTAAACTGGAATTATTTAAATGCAGCAGCTGAGGGTAAATTTTGAGCACACACACAGTTGAAACAGATCAAAAGTTAAGGAGAGAAGAGACCGAACGGGAAGATAAAAGATGAATAAATGATGAAGAGAAGGGAGATGAGAGATGGGAGGGACAGAGATCCTGTTTACAAGGGGCTGAATCAATTGTGGAATTTTAATCTGAGCCCTGATATTGATTGGTGGGAGATGCAGCAGAAAACTGCAGTGCTATTAATACAGAGAACACACTGCGATTTATCAGTGTCAGACAGAGAATCCAACCGGCTGCTTTAATCCGTATGTTTTCTGAGGTTTTTTTCATTACTAAATCTGCAAATAAAAGGGATGCTCATGTGATCCATACTGGAGACCATTACAGAAAAGAAGTTGTGATATTTCTGTATTTCAGAATGTTATAATCGTACTATGCCCACCCTAATGATGTCTTACTGTGGAAATGTTGAATATTATACATAATATTTGATAGAGAGCTTTGACTTAGGCATGATGACAATTAATGCTTCCTGTTATTTTTTTTCCTACCAGTTCTTGTTCAATTTGCAGAAAGACAATTTGCTTTGGAGAGGAGAGTTTTGGAGAAATAACAGGTGTGTGTGTGTGTGTGTGTGTGCGTGTGTGTGTATGTGTGAGACAGTCTGGTGTTTCCCATGGCTCTCTAGCATTCAGTCACTTATGTATCCAGCCAGACACATTACATTTTTTTAGCTAATAAACTGGAAGGTGAGCATGAGGGTGATAGCACAAGTTCTCAACTTTCTCATAGGAAAGGGGGGCTCCTGCTGACTGTCAAGAAGGAGGAGACAGGCTGAGATTTGAAACAAAAGGTCTTACGGAAGGAGTGTGGAGAGATGGAGGTGTAATGGCTGGCAAGCCAAGACTAACCTCAACAGTTTTGGTTGTTAAATAGGTTATTAAATAGGTATTGCTTCCAGGAGAGCCTGGAGCATATCTTTGAAATGATTATGAGTGGGCAGGGATGTTCAGTGGGCAAGGGTTCACATTGAAGATAGACCATTGCTAAGTGATACAGTTGTTAAGTGAATCATGTCTGATTTTAATACTTTTATTACTAAATTGGGATTACATGAGAAAAATGAAATTCATTGTAGAGAAAAGTGAAGTCTTACACTTAGGCAAGAAAAAACAAAAGTACACATATAGACTGGGTGAAACCAAGCTTAATAGCAGTAACTGTGAGCGGAATCTTGTAGTCTGAGTGGAGAACCAATTAAATATGAGCCAACAGTGTATGGTGGCAGCCAAAAAATCCTAAACTGCATTAACAGAGGAATACAATCAAGATCAAGTGAGGTACTAATACCACTCTATAAAGCCTTAGTAAGACCACACCTCGAATACTACATCCAGTTTTGGTCACCACACTATAAAAAAGATGTTGAGACTCTAGAAAGAGTGCAGAGAAGAGCAACCAACTAAGATGATTAGATGGACTAGATTAGGGAACTGGAGGCTAAAACATACGAGGAACTGGGCATGGCTAGTCTAGTGAAGAGAAGGACCAGGGGAGACATAATAGTAATGTTCCAATATTTGAGAGGCTGCTACAGAGTGGAAGGGGTCAAGCTATTTTCCAAAGCACCTGAAGGCCAGACAAGGAATAATGCGTGGAAACTGACCAAGGAGAGATTCAACCTGGAAATAAGGAGAAATTTTCTGACAGTGAGAGCAATCAACCAATGAACCAGCTTGCCTTCAGAAGCTGTGGGAGTTTCATCACTGGAGGCTTTCAAGAAGAGACTGGACTGCCATCTGTCAGAAATGGTGTAGGGTCTCCTGCTTGGGTGGAGGGGGTTGGACTAGATGACCTACAATGTCCCTTCCAACTCTGTTAATCTGTTAAAGTATAAATTGGAAGTGTGAGGATTGGTCATAAGACACACTTTTCAACGCCATCGTAACTTTGAATGTCATTAAATGAATGTTTGCACGTTGAGGATTACCTGTGTCTGTATCTATAACCGTTACTTATCTCCTGCAGTCTCTTGTCTCAGCTGGGCTTATTTCTGTTATCTAAAGCCAGTTTAGCCAGAGTGGGGATCAGACAGGATGGCCACGTGGAAAAGAGCAACAAAGTCAGAAGAAATGTTTTACAATGCTTGTTTGTCATTTCAGTCACAACAACTCCTGTTCACAAAAGGAACAGAGTCATATTGAAAGATACTGGTGTGCTACAGGGGTGGATTCTACTTACCTTTACTAGCGATTCGCATTGTGCCCACGCGTGTGCATGCGCAGATCACTTATTATGACGTCCGGGTCAGTGGGCGGGGCCTCCCGCCAGTTTTACTACCGGTTCTTGTGAACCGCTCTGAACCGGGGGCAACCCAACACCGGTGTGCTACCATCCAATTTACATCTGATCCGAGTGAAGAGGAGAACATACATTTTAGTAGTTTATGGCCAATACATTGTATTTATTTTGCTTTTCATCAGTCATCCGTTTGAAAACTTTTTTGCTTAAAAGATAATAGAATTCAGATTTTTCAGTCTAAGTCTGAAGCCAAGTGGACTATCAACATCCTGCATTGAAGAAATAAAGAGATTTTACTGAAAGTATAAATAATGTGACTTTTGTACATCGAGTCAATGTGCTTTTGAATATATATGAAAGAAATGGAGAAAAACACAGAAACATGCTCTTGAATTTTGAGCTCTGATCAACTGATAATCATTGAATCTAGTGTGAAATTTCTGTTTACATAAAATCTTCAATATAATTTTTTCATATAGTCTAAGACTCAGACTTATTATTCTTTACTTGAAATTATTATGTTATTAAATGTGAATGTTGTTACATCTTTAGAAAAGATCACAGGGCTGCAGTAGATGAACAACAGTTGAGCAGCATAACTTTACACAAAGCCATTCAGTTTTGTAGCAGGTCAATTCTTATTTTTTTAAATGACTATAACACTCATAAACCATATCCCAGTGATAAGTTTGAATTCAGATCTCAACAGGAGAAGCAGTGAGCAGCACCTCCCATTTCAAACATCTTGTTGGTAACATGATTGAAGTACCGGTCTCCATAGCTATGCTGCAGTCATCTGCAACACAGATCTTTTGTGTACACTTTGAGGGCTGTTGAGCATTTGATGCTGAATGTTTGAAGAAGTGAACTGTTTATGCTTATGGCTTTCACTAAAATTTGTTAGAAAAGGTGCTGCCGTTCTCCTCCTGACTTTTGTGTATACACAAGTTATGTCCACAATAACTCATGCGGAGGTCTTTGTTTATATGTTTTGTTTCGTGAAGATTGGCTCTTGGTGAGATCACCAGTATAACTACAAGAAAGTGGAACTGTTCCCAGCTCCTCCTGATGTAAATATATTATCTGAATAAGGCTCCCATTCCAAATACTTCTGTACAGGTAGTCCTCAACTTGCAACCACAATTGGGACCAGACTTACCATTGCTAAGTAAAGCAGTTGTTAAGTGAGTCATGCATAATTTTACCTTTTTTTTTTGGCCACAGTTGTTAAGTGAATCACTATAATTGTTAAGTGAATCATGTGAGTATTAAACGAATCCAGCTTCTCCCATTGACTTTACTTGTCGGAAGCTGGCTGGGAAGGTCACAAATGATGATCACCCACTTGGGAACTCTAACTGTGATGATTCCCCTGGATGCTTCCCCAGATGCCTCTCCAGATGTCAGTTCAGAAGAGGATGAACCAGTCCCAGGCACATCAGGAGGGGTGTTGGTCAGTGGCTCCAATCAGCCATCTGATTTGGCTGAAGCATAGCTGCAACAGGACAGCTGTGTGGCTTCAGGTGGGCAAAGCACACAGTTGCAGACGGTCAGCAATAAGGAGAAAGAACTGCCTGCTATACCTGATCCAAGAACACGTAGGCTAGAGAAAGGGCAGGAGCAGCGAAGGTCAGCTCGATTACTCGTGAGGAGGCAGCCTCCCCCCTCTTAATGGGTTTGCACCAGAAACTGGCTATTTAGCACAGCAGACAGATGGAGGCAATCCTGGGAACAATGTGTTCATTTCCTTGCTCTGTGTTCTTGCCTTGAACTTCAGATCGTGTCTCTTCAGCTGTGGCCTTGCCTTTGCCTTGTTGATTTGTCTTTGCCTTTGCCTTTGCCTTGCTTGCCTTTGCCTGTGGACTTGCCTTGTCTTGTGGACTTGCCTTTGTCTTGGAACTTGCCTTTGCCTTGGGAACTTGCTTTTGCCTAGTGGACTGGAGTCACCTTTGCCTTGAGGACTAGTGTTGGCTTCATTTGAGTAGCCTGTGGAATACATTGGGGCTGGTGCCGGCACAGGGAATTGCTAGGGAATACCAATTCAGGCTCTGAAGTCTTAATAAAGACTCCTTACACCCGTGGTGTGTGTATGTGTGAGCGGGACAACACAGTCATCCTCGTAAATACATGCTGGTTGCCAAAGTTGATCACATGACTGTGGGGATGCTCCAACAGCTGTAAGTCTGACGACCAGTCATTAGTCACTGTTTCCACTGCCTTTGTAATGTTAGATGGTTGCTGAATGAATAATTGTTAAATCCATGACTATCTTGGATTTCAACTTCAGATCTATATTCTACTAAAACTCTTATTTCTGTTTGCCTGTAACCTTCAATGAGTGAAATTGGAAGGTATAGGGCAGGGCTGTCAAACTCCTGGCTCATGGGCCGGATGCGTCACGCACTGGCTACACCCACACCCGGTTTAGCGAAGGGGAAAAAAAAGTCCCAGTACGTCACGTGACAACATTGTGACGATGCAAGTTTGACACCCCTGATATAGGGCAACAATTATTGAACCAAGATAAATGGGCTAACCTACAAAATGTTGGGATCCTGATTACTGTAGGAATGAAATTTGGGGAAGTTGTGCCTGTTTCGCCGTCACCATGTCTTCCAACTACACTCTCCAGAAAGTCATACATTGTATGGTACAAGGGAAGATGGGAGGGCTGTAGCCTCACCCTCTTTCCTGACTCCCTTTGGCCCCTGCACCCAATCAGCTGGCAGCTAGGTCTGATCTGCAAGCTTTGGAATCAAGGCTGAAATTTGAAATATTTTAGCAGCAGAGGGTGGAGGGAAGAAAAGAAAAGAAAAGGGAGTGACTTGGATATTTACTAATAAGGTAGGGAGTGGGGGGAGAGGCATTGGTAGTGAATGGTTTTCTTCCCAGAAAAGAGGAAAAGCTTGGGAACATGTCACAATGGGGAGCAGCAGTATAATTTTCCTTGCAATCTGTGACTACTTTTGTTCCCTCTCCCCACTTCAAAGTGGCAGTTTGTTTCACAGGTCATCCAAGAAGGAGGATTGATTTCTGACTGTCCCTGCCAGCTTCCCACAACCAAAGTCAATGGGTAAGCCATTAGGAAGTCTGCTTTTCTCTTTGGGCAAGGAAAACATATGGATCCTATTAAATTAGTTTTCCTTAATTTCCTTTGGAATATTATCCCTGGTTCATGTCCACAAATATTAAGCAATGTTAATTAAAAAAAAAGGTTAGTCAATGATCTAAACATGAGCTGAGCTATTTAAAAGATAATAGTTGTATAAATATCTATTCCAAAATAATTTTTAGAAGTTGTTTTGTAATAGCAAAAGACAATAGTTTAGACCTAAATTTGCTTAGGAAAATTTTATCTGTATGGGATTCTACCCAAAACAAAATGATGCCATCATATTAACAGTCTACCAGCCAGGAAAAAATATGTCTTTCTCTTCTGGAAAATAGTTACATAGAAAATATATCTATAGAGTTATTTTATTAAGAACACGATGCTTAGTTGCATGGTTCACAGGCTATGGGTTGGTTCTGTTATCTGAATCTATAAAATTGCCTTAGTAAGAGTTAAAATACTTTTGAAATGAATTTTATTAATTAGCAAGCTAAATTGGTTTGGCAAAATATACTAGTATACTGTATGTTCAATATCTTTGTCCTCTTTTAGAGACCTAGATATCAACATAGTGTAAACTGTCCAGAGAAAATATGGTTCTGAAAAGTAGCACACAAATTTTTATAATAAAAGAAAATTTTAATTCATTTGCAAAGGGTTGATGGTTAAAGTAATTTGTGATTGTGAGTAATTTTTACATAACATTCAGGTTTTTTTTTTTTTTGAGAAAAACCTATTGCACATCAGATGTTACTGAGCCAGAACGTCTATGACAGGAAATAAATGGCACAGGCAAGTTTATTGTCTTACAGAACATCAAAAGGCACAATATTTCCCACTTATACTTAAATGTAAATTGTTTAGGTTTCCTGAGCGTTGCACCATTCTGTGCTTTTTTAGACTATATTTTCCATGATTTCTCATCATTGGTTGGACTAGCTGGGAATCCAGAGAGCTGAATTGCAGCAACAACAGGATTGCCATATACGTCTTAACCTTGTTCTTGGTTTCCTGCTCATGCATTGTCATGCTGTGGTGTTGAAAAGGTAACATTCTTTAAAAGTAGGTTTTCTTTTTTAAGACTTGGTTTTTTATGTTTGAATCCTGTTTCCAGGGTCAGCAGAAAATGACACAGAACTAAGAGCTTTGTTGGGATTCAGACTGCCTTATGATACTGTAATTCAGTTTAAAGTGACTTTGAAGATGAAGCAAAAGGCAGATGAAATGATGTTGGCTTGTATTTTGCGGAGAAGTGTGAAAAAGAGCTACCTGGTCATAAAATAGAAAGAAATACAGATCCGGATGGATGACAAGGGAAAACCAAGACGCCAGCCTCAAGGCTGTCTGGCTGATGACATTATTAATGATATTGAGTTGGGGGCTTTTCCTGTCTATGCTATGTAATTAATTATTTATGTTTATTGATATCAATCTATTGTCAGGGCACTCAGTCAGTTTGGCTTGGAGTCCAATAATGTTAATAATGAAACTTTGTTTCAGCTCTCCATGCTTCATTTTGTATTGTAGCAGATCACTTTCCCCCACAAAACGTATTTATTATGGTTTCGCACAGTCAGCCAGATGTTCTGACTGGATTTGCCATTTTTATACCCCCCCCCTGGAGTCTTTCCGAAGAACCTGGGATAGGTAGATGTTGATGTTTGATTGTAAAAGGGGAATCATTGCAGGATGTAGTCTGTTCTGAGTAAAGCTGCCTTTTGCAATTTAGTGATGGTGAATTTGTCATTGACAAATGACAAAGTGGTGCTTCCAGTTGTTTTGGGATTGCACCCAAGGCATCTATTACTATTGGTACTACTTTTGCTTTCTTTTGCCATAGTCGTTCTATTTTATTTGCAGGTCTTTCTAGTTTATCTTCTCCAGTTCTTTCTCTTCTCTTCTGCTGTCTCCAGATACTGCAATGTTCCTTAACCAGACTGTTTTTGTCTTTCTTATTGACAATTTGTTATTATGTCCATCGCACAGTCAGCCAGATGTTCAGACTGGAATTGGCATTTTTCTCCAACTATTGAGTCCTTCCGAAAGACCTTGGATAGGCAGATGTTTATGTTTGATGGTGTTAAAGTATCCTCACAGGATGTAAGCTGTTTTGAGTAAAACTACTTTTATTTTTGCACTTGATTGATAGTGAATTTGTTGTTGATGATGCTGTTCAAGTGATGCTCCAGTTGTTTTGGGATTGTACCCAAGGTGCCCATTATTATTGGTATTACCTTTGCTTTCTTTTGCCACAGGTGTTCTATTTCTGTTTTTTGCCCACTTCGCCATTTGAAGCAACTCTGACTGGCTTAGATTTGGTCCATTATGGATGATATGAATGTTTAGATCCTCCAAATGTTATATTATCACAGGATCTGAAAAAAACCTGTAAATGTAGTTAAAGAAAAGTGTCCAGGGATATCTTAAAGAGTTACCTGAAAGATTGCAATTAAGATCACCATAAAAATATTTTCTCTGGATAGGTCACAATTAGAGAAAGGGCATATTTAGTGCACACTTATGAAATTGCTTATTAAGAAAGGTGTACTCAGTACCTTCTTGTTAAAGATGTCAGGTGAACTCCACCTTATAGTATTCTCTTTGGCTTTTTATGATGTTATTTCTTTAGATGCTTGTCATGATGTACAAGTGGCTTTTTAAAAAACACTGACTCTAGATTTGTATTTCTTATTGATTGTAGACAGCTTACTTTTTCTGTATTCTTAATATTTTCATAATTTATCATGTTTTTCTACTTTGAACTGCTCTTTAAACTTTGGTAAACAAATCAGCATAAAAATAATCATCATAAACAAAATTAAATGTTGATTTCAGAAAACCTTCATGAAATTGAATATAGATAGAAACATTGGCTATAGGAAGATACCTGTTTGTACCTCTAGGTTCTGGCTTGTTCAGAATGGATACTTTGATAGTATGAATGTATGCTCTGAAAATATTATAATTTGCAAAATGAATCTATTAGTGGAAATTTATATTCTCTGCCTGTCAGAGAAATATATTTCTCTGCCTGTCAGAGAAAAGTGAACCATTCCAGTTAATTGCACCTCATTGCTTTTACATATTTTACCAGGTATCTAGACTACTAGCAAAACTGGATTTCAACCATGGCAAAACAGCTTCCATTCACCTCCACTTGAATCCTGTCTTCTTGGACATTTTTCCACAGAAGAATAGAAGGAAGAACAAGCCTTCACTTCAAATTACCAAATAAATTCATATAAACAAGGACCAAGTGATATTTTTTTTTTAAAAAAAACTTTATTTCATGTACCAGGATTTTTTTTAAATTTTTCCTCTTTTTAAAATTTTTCTTTTTAACAGTCTGAAAAAAAATAATAAAATAAAGAAAATGGAGATTTGTGTTGAATTGGTTTGAGATGAACATAAGCAATACCCTTGGGAGAAAAACAAAACCTTCACCAGTCCCAATCTTCCCTCTTTTTTTTTTTTCTCTCTCTCTCTCCCTCTGTCTCTCTCTCCTTCTCTCATCTCATACACATTTATATGCTCATTCGCATATGCACAAATATTCATTCAACGGTATTCTATTAGAAATACTCAAGAACATCACAGTAGCAAAGTCCTTGATAACGATTTTGGGATTTCAATCAAAATACTGTCCTCTGCTTATGCTGGAGTACAGGAAACCAGTTTTTAACTCATTTCTTGGGCTTTGGGTATTAGCTTATTTAACTCCTCCCAACTCTTTCATTGTTGATGGGCAAGCTGAGGCTTGGGCTATAGTTGCAGATTTAGACACTCAGTACTGAATGGGAGACCCCATACTGATTACTAACAATACTGTGTCTCAGTATTTTTTTCAACTTGTTCTTGCCCAGTTATTTTGGGATTGTATTGAATGAGTTATCAGCTAATGCCTGGGGAAGAACTGATCCTGCTATTGTCTCACTGTTTCATATATTGCTCCTCATCCTACCCTGAGTGGGACTCCATTTTTCTATCTAAGAGAATAAACTTAGGAGGAAGCAGCATTAAACTGGGTGGGTAGAGGTTTTTCTCTGACCCTATATAGATCCCAGCAGGTACAGAGTAGCTATGGGTGTGAAGGCTCTTTGAGTTTGAAGCACCACCAGCATGAGCAGGAAAAATCAAGCAGAAACCTAAACCTAACTGGATATAATGGCTGGGTCAGGTTTATTTAACCCCCAATCTTCTTTCAAGGCAACACAAAAGGCTCAGATATTGCAAAACCACAGAGAATTAATTCCATATATTTTTGTCTGAAGCTTGATCTGCATCTTAAAGCTAACTTAATGCCACCAGCGATATAACCACATCTCTATTTTGACCCAAGACCTTATTAGATGCTATACTCTTGATCCCTCAGCTGCTGTGGCACCAGATGTTCTTAACAAGTTTCATGGTTATTTAGATGGTTGCTGTGGGTTATTTAGATGGTTGCTGTGGTATGCCTGAAATCTAAGAGGGATTGGGGGTGAGGAAGGGAAGATGTTCTTTTTTGGGCTGTTAGGCAGTAGGAGAAGCAATGACATGATTTATGAGGAAGAAATCAGATACTTGAAAAGGAAAGCTAGTATCACTACTGCCCCACAAAGTTTTCTTCAATTGTATGACCTCCAGATATGTCAACTTTTACTCTCAGACTGTTTAACAATGGCCACCTGGAGGACCTTCAGATTGTAAAGTTGCCTTGCAGAGTTTATGTTCCCATCCTGGTCAAATATAGAAAGTTATTTCTGAAGTGAGCAATTTGGAGAATTTACTGTAGCATCCAAACCTAGCAGCAAAGTATAGAGATAGGAAGCTCATTTTTCATCTGTCTAACTAAGAATGTTTAATAGATATTTTAATCTCTTTATTTTTCTCCTTTTCTTAGTTTTTGCTAAGATTATACAAGACATATAAGACATGTCTTCACCTGGCAGTAGGAATTTGCCAACATCAGTTTCTTACTCACTAGTAAAGTCAAAGGAACTCCTTTCACATAAGATTCTAGCTTCTGGGATAAATTTTTCAATATTTCTTTAAGGCCATAAACAAGGCAGGGTACCAGTAAAGGAATGGAGACCTGGCCTTGGAAATTAGCAAACCAATTAAGGGGGACTTTCAGAAAAGCTTACATAGTCCCGAGAAAGAGAAAAGAAAGAAACTCAAAGTAACTCCACCTTGATTTTGTTTGGCATACGTTTGGACAGAAAGAACCCCTCACAAATTTTCAAGATTCTATTATTCTATTCTACAGTAATAAAGAACATTTTTGGAATCCCTGCCATGCTGTTTCTTGACTTGACCTACCTCAAAGAGGTGACATCATCAGATCTGAGGTGCAAAAATCTGGACAATGTCTAGATGCAATGAAGAGATGCAAATATACTTAGTGCTTTGTTGTAGTATGGTAGCCCTAAAATAAGGAAGAGTCTTGGTAGGTATTCTGTACCTCTTTTTTCCTTTAACTTTTCCCCCTTCCTTTTCTATCTTATGCATTTTCTAGAGCTTCCTTTCCTAACATGATCTAGCTAACCTCTGTGATAGAACATACACTATGATCCCCGCTTTCTTCCTGTCAGATACATCTTCAGTGAGAGAAGGACCAGGTAGATCCTTTCTCAAATTCTGTCAAAACCTATAGAGCTGCCAGATTCCATGTTTGGGGCACTTCGGCTGTTCTTTCTTTAAATCAGAGAAAAAAAAATTAAGAAGTTGCAGTTTCTTCCAAATGTGCTACAGAGGTGGGAAAAGCTGCACTTACCAAATATTTCCTCTTCTGAATGATTTTTAAAAGCTCATTTAAAAGATAAACTGTCCCATACTACATATGGCAACACCATAAGTAGGCCTCAGAGAAAGGCAGACTGAATGTACAGCCAGGGACTGGCTAGCACTAGCAACAGAGGGAAACCAGGGCATATTTCTTTTAGTGTTATGGATTTGGCACCAGAACTGAATTTCAGCCAATGACAGCCTGTTCAGTGTACATGAGAGGAAGTCCAATGGTTTTGGCAGGATTGATCCACAAAGCAGAAAAGCTACTGATGTAAATGAAGCTGAGGTCAGTGAGCAAATAGTAGCTACTTCGCCTAGCATCTTTCTAAAGCCTGCAAATGACCGCAAGGCAGGGGTATCCACAGAGTTTGGTCAAAAAAAGTCAAAATAGCAGAGTTCTGCCTGCTTTTATATACAACGCACATTTTAAAAAAGGGTGGTGCTTTGATCACACCGTTGCAGCCATCATCCTGACATTTTTTTTTTTTTACCATGCCCCATGGATATCCCTGCTACAGGGGGAGAACAACCTCTAGATATTTTTATCAATTTTTCCAAACCAAATGATAGTGGCCTCATTCTCTCCATGGGGAGATTGTTTTCTTAGTCCATAATTCTCATGACTGGCAAGGGAAGTGGGGAGGGAGGGAATGCTATTAATGTCAAACAACAGGTCAAATACTGGGTATCTTTAAAAAAAAAAGTGCTGTTGATTTTCTTCTAAGATTTTAGTTTTCATAGTTTTCAAGTTGGAAAAAGATGAAAATAAAAATACTATTTCACTTTCTGGCAAGTAAATCCCCTCATTATATTTACATTTATTTATAGCTGTTTTATTTAAAAAAAAATGCCACTTTATATTAAGCTTTTTTTCTTTGTTGCAATGTCCTGGTTAACCCCAGAATAGTCGTAGGCTAATGAGGCTGAGCTGCTTAGCTTTAACTTCCTGAGACTTGGAGATTAGCACACTGGCACTAACCTTGCAAATCCCCAAGGACAAAGAAGGTGACTGTTAAGCTCTATGGAGCAACAAGGACACATTGAATCCCCAGTCATTCCTGGGGTGGCGGGTTCAAAAAAATTAGGTAGGCCCCAATGCACGTACAAATAGGGTAGACACCAAAGTCACTGCATTTTGTTTCTGGCTGGAGATTGCCAGGGACTTGCAAATTCACAATGGGCTAAAAATGAAAATAAAAACAAACTAAGAAATTAAAGAGTAGTTCTTCCCCCCCTCCCCTCCCTCCAATCCAAAGAGCTGCCTCCTCTTTTCCCCACTTGTTTTTTAAAATTATTATTATTATTATTTTATTTCTTGGTTCCTTTTTTTAAATCTGCTTTTATTAAATGTTAAAATAATGGTACATGGGAAATCATGCATTTTCTTTTAAATTTATTTTCTATTTTTTATATTTTTAAATTTCTTTCTCTTGATTTTTTTATTTTTTATTTTTTTTCCTTTTTTTAAAACTTTTTTTTTCTTTCTTTTTGGATGTTTCACTTAAGTTTGTTTGTTGTTTTTTTTTTTTTTGCTTTTGGAAGGTTCCTATGGTTGCTTTCTTCTTGCCCCTACAGGCCCTCCCCACTGTTCCTCCCTCCTGCACCCAAGTCCTTCTCCCACCTTCCCTGTCCCCCAGTTTCAGCCCCTCGTGATAGCTTCATACAGGAGTGGTCCGGCGGTTGGCTGTGTTAGTGTGGATAGAGTCTTTGTTTTCTTTCTGGATACAGTTGTGTACCTGGAGGAAGCTGTTATCCCTGTCTGAATTGTAGGTGGCTGTGGGGGTAGTAGCAGCCTTCAGGGGGTCCCTGGTCAGGGTATACATCGAGATTTCCGTGGATGGGAGGGTGTTGAACCCTTTGATCCCAACAGGAGAGGCATCCCTGGAGTGTGAAGGCTCAGTGGAACGGGAACTGGAGCGACTGCGTCTCTGATAGCGGTAGCGGTAGCTGGGTATGCGGGTGATGGCAGAGGACTGGAGGTAGTCCGTGGTGTGAGTGCTGGCACGCAGCTGTTTGTGCCGGTCAATGAACATGTGTACAGCCAGCACTCCAACCATCTCAGCTATAATGAAGGACAAGGCCCCAAAGTAGAAGGACCATCCGTAAGAGTAACTGTTCTTCTTGGAGTCACTTTTTGAGGGGTCTCCAGCATTGGCTGATATGTACACAATGATGCCAATTATATTACTCAGACCTGTGGACAAAGAGTAGGAGAAAAAAGTTATAAAATGTCTCTTATGCATACCTAATATAATTAGAAGAGGCTTTGTAATCAAAGAGGACTATTCTGTTGCTACTGAGATATTTTGATCTTTTCCCCACTAGGATCAATGACATGGCCAGTTTGAAACGCTTAATAGTACAGGACAGTCACTGAAAGATGGCATTTGGGGATTTATCTGAGATTCTGAATGTTCCAATACTGTATGTATTCACATCACAATGACACTTTCTGACTCAAATTCCTTTTGAAAAACTTTTTAGAGCAGCCTTCCCCAACCTGATATTCTCCAAACATGTTGGACTTCAAATTGTACAATCCTTAGCCAGCACAGCTAGGAAGCTCAGTTCTGCTTAATATTAACAATTAAAATCCTTATTTTGGACCACAAAAATATAGAATGGCAGCAGAGGAAACTCAACCCAATTCTAGCAAATATGTGAATATGTGTTTGTGTTATCCTAGACTAGTAATTGCCTCCACCATTTGATGACATTGATTTTTCTCTCTCTAGCTTTAAATTAATGCTTCAGATAGGTTGTAAGCTTACTTATTAATATATAGAAAAAATATATTTTGAGATATTTGTTTTCTAAGAATAAAGCTCAGGCAATACATTACAGACCTGATGAGGTCTGAAATGGTCAGCATTTCTATTATTTGCCTATCAGTAATACATCTGTATCCAAAATTATCCTTGCCTATTGTCTATTATTATAAGTACTATCCTAATATGTTCAGCCATATAGAGTATTATTCAAATATTTTTGTACTCTTGTACTGATTTCTTATATGCTTTATTGCACCAACCTAACACAGACATTGCCATATCCATAGTATAATATTCACCAACTTGAATTCCTTATTAACTATTTGAAGATACATTTCATTGTATGTTGGAGAACTATTTGGTGTTTTTTTTTAGGTTCTGTGTTTAAAACAGAATTGTAAATTTTTTTGTCCAAAGAATCCTATTATGATTTGCTGGAATCTCAAGACAGAGGTTCAAATTCTTTCCTGATGAAATCATTATTAGGATGTCATTTGACTAAACAAACAGCTTTACCCTATTTTGGCAGTTTTCATGAGTTTGGAGTTGAAGGAATAAAAAACAGGGACCTTCTACTTCTAGAGTTTGGTTAGAGGGTATATCGCAGTGCCTCCGTTTTGTTGATGTCTGTTGTTAAACTGAAATTTATTAGACCTAAATTTTGCCACCTTGGAAAATTATGCTAATGGGCATTGCATAAAATATTGCTATCTGGACACCATTAATCTTTAACAAACTAAAATATAAAGAAAGTGAAACAACTGCTGAATTACACCTCAGCTTGGCATACCTTACTAGGACTGCAAAACTCTGGACAGCCACCAGATGGCAGCCAACATTAAGATTTTCTATATCTCTGCTGTCATTTAGTAATAATCTGGTTTTGGAGGCCCACTTGTAGAAGACCTAATCTTAGAGTTATCATGAGCCTACATGTACAAAATCTGAGCCCTTTATGTAAGAGGAAATACAACATGGACTTTCAACAATTGACAGACGGTGTACAGTTTCTAACTAAGCTAAGGCTTCTATGAATATTGAAAGAATGATTTGCCTGCTATGTTTGTGGGCATTTTTAATTCAAATTCCCAAAGTTGGTTGCATTTTAGACCCTGATCCTGGAGAGATCACCGCGAGATCCTGGATGTCTCATAGAAATCAGATGCGCCAAAGTACTGCATGAAAGCCCCATGCAGAACATTGATATAATTTAGCCAATAGCGGAAGTAGGAAGGAATGGACAAGTATGGAGTATCATCACACATGTTGAACTAGACTCATAATTGACCTTAAAACATGAGGTCCCTGATGGATCGGGCCAAAGATTTATCTAATCCAGCATTCTCTTTGGACTGTGGTCAGGCAAATATCTTCAGGAAACCCCTATAAGGAGAATGTGAAGGTGATAACTGCCCCCTACTATGTGGAGTGTATGCATAATATTACAGGCATTCTGGGGGGGAAAATTAATAATCCACTTTCATCACTAGATGCTGCCACAATCAACAAATGAACAGAATAATTCTAAACAAGAGACAAATGCCACAAATAGAGAGACAGGCTCTTTAAAAAGCCCACACACACACTCCAACATTTTCATTGCTTAAAAGAGGATTTACAAAGCTGGACTTTTACATGAAGGGTATATATCTTAGACCTTATTTTGGCCTAGTTCACTCTGAGGTGAAAACCTGTGTTTAAATTGTACCACTTCTTATTGCAGCCAGGGTTCACATGATCAAATGTTCCTCCATTAAGAAAAAATTAAACATGCTTCTGTATCTAGAAATATTTACACCTAGAAAAGAAGATGATTGGAAGAAAAGTTAAGCTAGAAATTTTCTTCCTGGCATCTGATTTTTCCCAAGACTCCCTAGCCTGTAATGTTGGCCAATGAGAAACTATTCTGGAGGGATTGTACTTCACTTGAAAGAGCAGGCAGTCCTCGACCTCCAATTGTCTCTGGATTTGCAAATAATGGCTGTACCAAGGACTGTATTTGCAAAATTATGGCTAATGCACTAGCTGCAATTCTTCCTGAGCCGCTTAGATCCGGCAATAGTTACCTGTCCCTTTGTTACATCATAGTTAAAGTACTGTAACATGTTTCATATGTGGCAGTCTTAAAGCTGTTCTTTGAACATAAAGGCAACGTATATGTCATCAGATAAATACAAAATTAATTTTAACTCGTGCAAAATGCAGCTGCTATGTGGCTTAACACTTCAAGATACCAGGGTAATGTTATGCCTGTCCTAACATACCTCTCAGTTGTTTTCTAAGTGTAACTTAGAAAGTTATATTTTATGTTGTTGACTATAGGATATAGGAGCTTAGATTCTCTTATCTGAATAACTTTCTATTTGTGTAGATATTAATTTGGCTGCTAAAGAAAGACAGCCTTAAACATGTCCCTGATTTAAGAGACTTGTAGGCTCCCCGAGGGCGTCTTCTGCATTTCCCCAAGCTATTATACAAGCTGTCTTAGAAAATGCATTTTGGAAAATGAGTGAACCCTTTGTCTTCAGCCAGGATCTTCTAATTGGTTGGGGATGACTTTAGCTATTAGGTCATCCTACCTAGCTTAAATGGATTTCTAATGTACATACAGTTTTGTTGTTGTCTATCAGCCGCCTTGAGCTTCTATGAATGGAAAGGCTAGATTCAAATTGAAACAATAAACAAATATCTACTGTTTGATATGGAGGGATTTTTTTTACTATTTATTTTGGTATGGAAGAAATTCAATCCTGTGAGTCTTCACCTGCATGCTGCAGTGGTAAAGCCCAAACATAGGCTTATTCTTTCAATACTAAACAGGCATAGGAGGCCAAATAAAATTTCTTCATTTTTTCTGTGCTGCTCTTTCTTAAACAACCTACCGGTAGCAAACAGGGCCTAATGTACAAAAAAACTTTGTGTGTTGAGATGCTCTTTTCTTCCATATCGCCCTCCAATCTATGGTCAAAGAAAAGATGAAAAGTCTTCTACTAGGGCAGTGCTTCTCAACCTTGGCAACTCTAAGATATACAGAGTTCAAGATTGAGAAACATTACACTAGGGGTAAAAAAAAAGAGGCAGCAGTTAAGTTTCTCTGTTGTGGCCAACAGAGTAGTTTCTCTGTATAAAGTACCATATTTGGCACATGCCTAAACAGACTTGCCGCTTCCTTCCTGGAGCAAAAAGGACATGTTCAGCCTAGGAAAGCACTGATAGGGAACTATTAGGAGAATGGGAATAGAGGGACACATGTCTGATGTTCTTTGCCAAATATATAGGTTGTCATCCAGGATCTTGGGTTTGCTTTCATTAGTGTTACTTTTAACAGTTATGAAATCATGTTACAAACAATGCACTTGAAAAAAAATCCTGTCTGAATACAATGTATGCAAGGCAGCTGAATTCTCTCTGAAATTTTAGAGGCACGGTATTGCATTGCCAGGGTCAAACTAAGTATGACAGCAGAAGGTCTATTTGTTTAAACATTATTGGAGAAGCCCAAGTTTCATGGAAGGAGAGATTTCAAGTGAAGGTAGGACCACATCTCAGAATTTCCAAATGAGGGTAGAAGAATCTGATTTTTAGAGCAAAAGAGCAGGTGAATATGTGAGATATATGCTCCACCTGCCCTCAGCATATATTGAAAACATTGTGGATACAGTATCGTTCATCATGCTATTGCTTGATGTGACTTTAGTTTGTTTATTTTTTTCTTCCAATGAACTCCAGCACAGAACTGAATCTGGCTGGGTGTTTGTGGGGGCGGGGAAGTAATGAAAAATTCCAGTGAAGAAAATAGAGGGCACTAGTCATATCCATGTGTTGCTCTATGATTGGACCTCCTGTTCCCAGCTCTATGCACAAGTGAGACAGACACAAGTTTAAACAAATTATTCTTCCACTGTCAAATCTAGTTGGACTTCCCCTAAAATAGGTTGCAATTCTGAAACATGGAATGCAACTGCAATGCATTCTTCCTCTCCTGCAATCACTTAGAGTAAAACATCTCCTTTTGTATTTTGCATGATTTAATTCAGATGAGGAAATGAATAATTGTGATTGGAGTTGGGAAATATTAGCATTCCCAGTCTTTTTCTTTTCATAATGTTCCACCCCAATGCTCTGGGAGCCGGTTGTTCCCTTTACCTCCCAACACATTGGGTCCCTCCCTCCTTTTTGATTTTTGTGATTTTATCCCTGTGCAGAGAGGCAGCCCACTGGTCCCTCAGCCCTTTTACCTGCAGACACGAAGAAAATGCCGGCACTAAGGATGATGTTATGTCGGGTTTTGTAGAACTCGCTGGCTGCAATGCAGAGTCCACCCATAAAAAGCAGAATCACACTCAGGATCGGAAAAATACTAGAGGCTCTTACAGCCCCTGTAAGCAAAGAAAACCAGAGGGGTGGGGGAAGGTAAGGGAGGGGGGAGGATGACAGCAAGTGTGGAAGACAAGGAGAGAAGGGAAGACATGCAGTTGGGGGGGGGAATTAAGGAAGAGTGTGGAAGATTGGTGAGGAGTGCAGCAAGGTGGAACAAAAAAGACACAGCAAAGAAGCACAGGAATTGGAAGGCCAGTGATAAGGAAAGAGAAAGAGGAGGAGAATGAAACAGAGCATCAACAGAAGAAGAAAGCTGTTACAAATGAACTATCAACATATTGGATATTAGAAGAGAGCAGTGTACTTAGAGCTGGGGACAGTCAAATGGCGTCTGGTAACCAAACAAAAACAAAAACAAAAGCACAGTGCCATCCCTTTGAACATACAGAAACTCTAAAGGCCAGGAAATTAAAACGATGCCATGTACTATTCAGCATATTGTTAACAAATTGCAATCAGCAGGAGATGTCCTGAAAATAAACACAGATATTGTGCAGAAGTGGGCATGGAAGACTCTCCAGATGGACCCAGTCCTTGCTCACAGGCAGGCCTGCACACAGACACATGGTGGTGGGGTGGGGAGCAGAGGAGGTTTTTATCATTCAGGATTTGTGCCTCAAGTATGGAATCTTATGAAGATTCCATTTTTCCTAGTTCCCCTTTTTTTGGCTTTGTTTCTCTCCACAAAAAAATGCATTAAGGAGGAAGAAAGGGAATTGCTGCCCGATTGCCTTTCAGCTGCTAACACTTGACGCTAACTCCCCAGAAGCACATTATGCTTTGTAAATGTGTACATGTATTGCAAATTAATGAAGGCTGTTATAGTTGTTTGTATTAATTTACTGTATTTACCCCAAAGGAAGATGACAACTGATTTAAGGCTTCCTCCAAAAATAAAATTAGACAGGAAAAAATGTCTTTCAACTGCTGGTGTATTATCACTCTCCCTGGAAATCTAAGATGACCTTCTCCTTTTAAAGGTAAATTATTTGGGCAAATTTTAACTTCCTTCCATATACTACTTCACTCTTCACAGAGCCTAGCCAGTAGATGGCAGTAGCATGCAGGTACATAAATGCACATAGACATAATGATTTTCGGATTAAGCATTATGGAGAATGGGGAGCTCTTGCAAAAAATGTGTGTGACTAGTATGACTTTTTTCTAGGAAACATTAAAGCACTCTCTTGTGCACAGTTGTAAACTGTACATATATAAAATCTGATTCATCTAGGGTTGCACACACGTACAGTATATTAGATGATTAAAAGATAAACATGCACGTTATGGGTTGTCTGTATAATAGACTCAATACTTTTTATTTCCAGTGTAAAACATAGCAGTATCTAAGTCAGCCTTCCTCACCTTGCTGGCTTCCCTAAACCTGCTGTTCTCTAAGCCTATGCTGGCTGGAAATTATGAAAGCTGAAGAGCAATCTGAATGAAGAGTACCTGGTTGGGATAGACTGATATAAGTTATTCATATTAGAATAATCAGAAATACACTTTGAAAGTGTGGATAAAATCCATCGATTTACAATTCTTTCACCATGGGATGGCCTTAGCTACATTAAAAATGTATAATCAAAACATAACAAAATGTAATATATTGTTAGTTGTCTTGAGTGCTTAACTAGATGAAGCATATATTTATCTTTTTAAAAGATTTTTTAAAAAACCTTTACCTAGGGACAGAGAATAAATAGCCCCACCAAGATTTTTAACGCATCTGATTTCTTTTCATAAATCTGTATGTTCCTTTGTATACAGTCTTCCATCCCCATTAACTCCTGCAAATCTACAGGAAAACTTTGCAAGATGCAATAGCAAGACATGTGTCATGACAAAGAAGTTCACAGGAGACCTTTGGCCCAAGAAACTAATTAATAGCAACTTTCTTTCTTGAAAGAGCCATGATTCTAAACTGAACTGTCAAGTTTGGCTAGTGGGTGGGTTATACAACACAGTAACTTAAGCCTCAATTAATAAAATCTGGCTGTTGTATTTACATAATATCACATATCTCAACAAACCTTACGGCTTAATGTAATGGCTCAGTTCATACGTGTTAAAACAAAGGTTGCAATTCCCACAACATGCTGGATGACAAAGTCCCCAACCCAGTTTTAAACTAGTTTAGTATATTGTTTAAATCCAATTAACGAAAGCTATTAGTACATATTATTTGGTCATACCCTTACTGTAACAAGAGTGAGTTGAAGCAGGATGATCTTTGTCAGTGGTGAGATTCAAAGTTTTTTACTACCGGTTCTGTGGGCGTGGCTTGGTGGGAGTGGCATGGCTTGGTGGGTGTGGCAGGGGAAGGATACTGTAAAATCTCCATTCCCTCCCAATCAGCTGGGACTCGGGAGGCAGAGAATAGATGGGAGTGGGGCCAGTCAGAGGTGGTATTTACCGGTTCTCCGAACTGTTCAAAATATCCACTACTGGTTCTCCAGAACTGGTCAGAACCTGCTGAATACCACCTCTGATCTGCGTGTATTCTATCAGGGGAGCTTTATTTCCAGTTGTCCCTGCACTGAATGCTCTCTGGGCTGAATGCAAACAAGAAATGTGACTGCTAATGGGAAACCATCAATGAGTGGTTAGTCATGCAGATTGTGACTGGATGGGGAGCTGAAGCCCCCACATCTTAACATTGTCAAGATTGGGAAATCTTGGTTTAAACTGATAGTTTTATTTTCACAGTGCCAATTCCCTAGGAATTCTAAGAGGAAACACTTATTTATTTGAAAACAAAATGAACACAACACTGCTGTGATACATCCATTCTTGGGTCTTGATACCTGCTTTATTTGGTGCGAATTTTAGTTCTCGTGCTGCTTTGGCCTTTGGTTACCCAGAGGGTGGCACTAACATGCAATGCAATTCTATTTGTCACCAGTTTCTCAGGGGTTTTGCTGAAGAATGCATGAGTCAACAAATGTCAACAAATGATGGAAAAGGAGAGAAACCTTTAAATTACAACGAGACACTTACTTAATATTTAGCACTTACAGTCTATGGATATAATACCAAATTCAGGATTTTTTTGTGGAAATCATGGACATGATTCTGTCCCATTCCAAGGAATTTAAAATCCACAGATTTCAAGTCTGTATTAGATAAGTATCTTTGGCCATGTTTCAAAGATGGAACTATGCTTCACTAATGACCTCTAGAAAACACTAATGAGATTTAACACTAAGGAACATCAGTAATTGCCAGGAGAGGCTTATGATCAAAGGTCTTTTAGAACATAGGTGGATTCTACAATTTCCCTTTTTTCCACACATTTTAATTAGTCCAACACAATTACAATAAAGAATCTTTTACAGTAACATAAGGCTTTTTCTGGACTCGTTTCGACTGGCTGGAAAAGAGCCATTTCATGAAAAAACAAGCTGGTTGCTGCAAACTAAGCTTAATTTGCATGATTTATTACTGTTGCAGGGCATAAATTTAATTACAAACACATATATCTACACATCCCATTATTATTACCATGTTTTCCCGATAATAAGACAGGGTCTTATTTTCTTTTGTCCCCCCCCAAATAAGGGCTTGGCCTTATTATCAGGGGGATCTTATTATTTTGGGGGTGCAGGAGGCGGTGAGCATGGGACTGGATGTCCTGTCACTGCCGTCACCTCCCCTCTTCATGCCGGCTGAGTGGCCCAACATGTCCCACCCCAATGGCAACAGCTGCTTCCCTTCCCCGCCGTCTCTTTATCAAGAGGGGTGGCAGGTGGGGCAGGGGAGAAGCGAGATGCGTGGAGTGAGACCTTCTCAAATCAAACTTCTTGAACTTGTGAGAAGGTTTTCTTTTACAGCGTGTTTCCCTGGACACAACGGCGAGGAAAGCAATGGAGCTTGAAAGGTAAGATCTGTGTCCTGCTTCTTGCCCATCCCACCTGCCACCCCCCAAATTGCATCCCTAAAGGGGGCGGGTGGCTAAGCGAAGGGCAGGAGCCCTGTCATGCCCGGCGATGGGGGGGAGAAGAGATGGCAAGGGGAGCCACATCTTGCTCCACGCATATTGCTTCTTCCCCCGCTTCACCTGCCACCCCTCTCAATAAAGAGACAGTGGGGAGGGGAAGCAGCCAGGTTGCTGTTGCCATTGGGGTGGGGTGGGATGTGTTGGGCCACTCGGCCAGCACAAAGAACAGGGAGGGGAGGGGAGGGGAGGGCATGTCCCCCCCTTGCCCCCCCTCCGGCCTTGCCTCCTCAACTCATTTTGGTTGTGCAGCAAGCAACCAGAGGAAATGATGGGACTGGCTGCGCATATGTGTAAGTAGTTGGTGGGGGGGCTTATTTTGCGGGAGTGGCTTATATTATCGCATGCACTGAAAAGCCCAATTGGGCTTATTATCCAGACATGTCTTATTTTTGGGGAAACACGGTATTTTGTATGTGTATGTGTATATGCACATACACATACACACTCACACACACACACCTCTCTATGCAGCTGATAAAATACATGAAAATCATCATAAAAATAACAGATATAAAACATGGAAGCTAAAGCTATGCAATTAGAAAGCTTAGGAAAATAAATATGTTTTGAGTCCCCATCTAAACTGTAGCAAAGAGTGGGCTTAATTTAATCCATAATATAGAATTGTTGCCTTGTAAGGTAGGTAGACAAAATATCATTCTTTGTTATACCATTTGGCGTTTACAATTTGCATATTTGTGTGCAGATGATTTACAGAGGCACAGGTGGCTTTGCTGATTGTGGGGTATTGTAGAAAATAATAAATAATGTGGGATTATTGCAACATGGAGCTGCATATAAATAGTTTACAAGCTTCAGTTATTATAAAATATGATAGCAAGAATATGGAACGTCTGTAATATTTTATCAACAATGCATCATCTTCATTCATTCTAGTTTCATTTCCAGACTCAATTTATAGTTTTGGTTTGGGCTGCTGTATTAGGCTAGACTGGAAAGTCAAAAGCACCCTAGAAGGTAACAGTGGCAAACCACTTC